TCTCTCACTGATTTAGGTTGTCTCTCTCTCTCTCACTGATGCAGGTTAACTCACTCTCTCACTGATGTAGGTTATCTCACTCTCTCACTGATGCAGGTTAACTCACTCTCTCACTGATGCAGGTTAACTCACTCTCTCACTGATGTAGGTTAACACACTCTCTCACTGATGCAGGTTAACTCACTCTCTCACTGATGCAGGTTAACACACACTCCCACTGATGCAGGTTAACTCACTCTCTCACTGATGCAGGTTAACTCACTCTTTCACTGATGTAGGTTAACACACTCTCTCACTGATGCAGGTTAACACACTCTCTCACTGATGTAGGTTAACTCACTCTCTCACTGATGTAGGTTAACACACTCTCTCACTGATGCAGGTTAACTCACTCTTTCACTGATGTAGGTTAACACACTCTCTCACTGATGCAGGTTAACTCACTCTCTCACTGATGTAGGTTAACACACTCTCTCACTGATGCAGGTTAACACACTCTCTCATTGATGCAGGTTAACACACTCTCTCACTGATGTAGGTTAACTCACTCTCTCACTGATGTAGGTTATCTCACTCTCTCACTGATGCAGGTTAACACACTCTCTCACTGATGCAGGTTAACTCACTCTCTCACTGATGCAGGTTAACTCACTCTCTCACTGATGCAGGTTAACTCACTCTCTCACTGATGCAGGTTAACTCACTCTCTCACTGATGTAGGTTAACACACTCTCTTACTGAAGCAGGTTAACACACTCTCTCACTGATGCAGGTTAACTCACTCTCTCACTGATGCAGATTAACTCACTCTCTCACTGATGTAGGTTAACTCACTCTCTCACTGTGATGCAGGTTAACTCACTCTCCCACTGATGTAGGTTATCTCTCTCTCTCACTGTGATGCAGGTTAACTCACTCTCTCACTGATGTAGGTTATCTCTCTCTCTCACTGATGTAGGTTATCTCTCTCTCTCACTGTGATGCAGGTTAACTTACTCTCTCACTGATGTAGGTTAACTCTCTCTCACTGATGTAGGTTTACTCACTCTCTCACTGTGATGCAGGTTAACTCACTCTCTCACTGATGTAGGTTATCTCACTCTCTCACTGATGTAGGTTATCTCTCTCTCTCACTGTGATGCAGGTTAACTCACTCTCTCACTGATGTAAGTTAACTCACTCTCTAATTGATGTAGGTTAACTCACTTTCTCACTGATGTAGGTTTACTCACTCTCTCACTGATGTAGGTTAACACACTCTCTCACTGATGCAGGTTAACACACTCTCTCACTGATGCAGATTAACTCACTCTCTCACTGATGCAGGTTAACTCACTCTTTCACTGATGTAGGTTAACACACTCTCTCACTGATGCAGGTTAACTCACTCTCTCACTGATGTAGGTTATCTCACTCTCTCGCTGATGTAGGTTAACACACTCTCTCACTGATGGAGGTTAACACACTCTCTCACTGATGCAGGTTAACTCACTCTCTCACTGATGCAGGTTAACACACACTCCCACTGATGCAGGTTAACTCACTCTCTCACTGATGCAGGTTAACTCACTCTTTCACTGATGTAGGTTAACACACTCTCTCACTGATGCAGGTTAACACACTCTCTCACTGATGTAGGTTAACTCACTCTCTCACTGATGTAGGTTAACACACTCTCTCACTGATGCAGGTTAACTCACTCTTTCACTGATGTAGGTTAACACACTCTCTCACTGATGCAGGTTAACTCACTCTCTCACTGATGTAGGTTAACACACTCTCTCACTGATGCAGGTTAACACACTCTCTCATTGATGCAGGTTAACACACTCTCTCACTGATGTAGGTTAACTCACTCTCTCACTGATGTAGGTTATCTCACTCTCTCACTGATGCAGGTTAACACACTCTCTCACTGATGCAGGTTAACTCACTCTCTCACTGATGCAGGTTAACTCACTCTCTCACTGATGCAGGTTAACTCACTCTCTCACTGATGCAGGTTAACTCACTCTCTCACTGATGTAGGTTAACACACTCTCTTACTGAAGCAGGTTAACACACTCTCTCACTGATGCAGGTTAACTCACTCTCTCACTGATGCAGATTAACTCACTCTCTCACTGATGTAGGTTAACTCACTCTCTCACTGTGATGCAGGTTAACTCACTCTCCCACTGATGTAGGTTATCTCTCTCTCTCACTGTGATGCAGGTTAACTCACTCTCTCACTGATGTAGGTTATCTCTCTCTCTCACTGATGTAGGTTATCTCTCTCTCTCACTGTGATGCAGGTTAACTTACTCTCTCACTGATGTAGGTTAACTCTCTCTCACTGATGTAGGTTTACTCACTCTCTCACTGTGATGCAGGTTAACTCACTCTCTCACTGATGTAGGTTATCTCACTCTCTCACTGATGTAGGTTATCTCTCTCTCTCACTGTGATGCAGGTTAACTCACTCTCTCACTGATGTAAGTTAACTCACTCTCTAATTGATGTAGGTTAACTCACTTTCTCACTGATGTAGGTTTACTCACTCTCTCACTGATGTAGGTTAACACACTCTCTCACTGATGCAGGTTAACACACTCTCTCACTGATGCAGATTAACTCACTCTCTCACTGATGCAGGTTAACTCACTCTTTCACTGATGTAGGTTAACACACTCTCTCACTGATGCAGGTTAACTCACTCTCTCACTGATGTAGGTTATCTCACTCTCTCGCTGATGTAGGTTAACACACTCTCTCACTGATGGAGGTTAACACACTCTCTCACTGATGCAGGTTAACACACTCTCTCACTGATGTAGGTTAACTCACTCTCTCACTGATGTAGGTTATCTCACTCTCTCACTGATGCAGGTTAACACACTCTCTCACTGATGCAGGTTAACTCACTCTCTCACTCATGCAGGTTAACACACTCTCTCACTGTGATGCAGGTTAACTCACTCTCTCACTGATGTAGGTTATCTCACTCTCTCACTGATGTAGGTTATCTCTCTCTCTCACTGTGATGCAGGTTAACTCACTCTCTCACTGATGTAAGTTAACTCACTCTCTCATTGATGTAGATTAACTCACTCTTTCACTGATGGAGGTTAACTCTCTCTCACTGATGCAGGTTAACTCACTCTTTCACTGATGTAGGTTAACTCACTCTTTCACTGACGTAGGTTAACTCTCTCTCTCACTGATGCAGGTTGACTCACTCTCTCACTGATGCAGATTAACTCACTCTCTCACTGATGTAAGTTAACTCACTCTCTCATTGATGTAGGTTAACTCACTCTTTCACTGATGTAGGTTAACTCTCTCACTGATGCAGGTTAACTCACTCTCTCACTGATGTAGGTTGACTCTCTCTCACTGTGATGCAGGTTAACTCTCTCTCTCACTGATGCAGGTTAACTCACTCTCTCACTGATGTAAGTTAACTCACTCTCTCATTGATGTAGGTGAACTCACTCTCTCACTGATGTAGGTTGACTCTCTCTCACTGATGCAGGTTAACTCACTCTTTCGCTGATGTAGGTTAACTCACTCTTTCACTGATGTAGGTTAACTCACTCTCTCACTGATGCAGGTTGTCTCTCTCTCTCTCATTGATGTAGGTTAACTCACTCTCTCACTGATTTAGGTTGACTCACTCTCTTACTGATTTAGGTTGACTCTCTCTCTTTCACTGATGTAGGTTAACTCACTCTTTCACTGATGTAGGTTAACTCACTCTCTCACTGATTTAGGTTGTCTCTCTCTCTCTCACGGATGCAGGTTAACTCACTCTTTCACTGATGTAGGTTAACTCACTCTTTCACTGATGTAGGTTAACTCACTCTCTCACTGATTTAGGTTGTCTCTCTCTCTCACTGATGCAGGTTAACTCACTCTTTCACTGATGTAGGTTAACTCACTCTTTCACCGATGTAGGTTAACTCACTCTTTCACTGATGTAGGTTAACTCACTCTTTCACTGATGTAGGTTAACTCACTCTCTCACTGATGTAGGTTAACTCACTCTCTCACTGATGCAGGTTGTCTCTCTCTCTCTCATTGATGTAGGTTAACTCACTCTCTCACTGATTTAGGTTGACTCACTCTCTTACTGATTTAGGTTGACTCTCTCTCTTTCACTGATGTAGGTTAACTCACTCTTTCACTGATGTAGGTTAACTCACTCTCTCACTGATGCAGGTTGTCTCTCTCTCTCTCATTGATGTAGGTTAACTCACTCTCTCACTGATTTAGGTTGACTCACTCTCTTACTGATTTAGGTTGACTCTCTCTCTTTCACTGATGTAGGTTAACTCACTCTTTCACTGATGTAGGTTAACTCACTCTCTCACTGATTTAGGTTGTCTCTCTCTCTCTCACTGATGCAGGTTAACTCACTCTTTCACTGATGTAGGTTAACTCACTCTTTCACTGATGTAGGTTAACTCACTCTCTCACTGATTTAGGTTGTCTCTCTCTCTCTCACTGATGCAGGTTAACTCACTCTTTCACTGATGTAGGTTAACTCACTCTTTCACCGATGTAGGTTAACTCACTCTTTCACTGATGCAGGTTGTCTCTCTCTCTCTCATTGATGTAGGTTAACTCACTCTCTCACTGATTTAGGTTGACTCACTCTCTTACTGATTTAGGTTGACTCTCTCTCTTTCACTGATGTAGGTTAACTCACTCTTTCACTGATGTAGGTTCACTCACTCTCTCACTGATTTAGGTTGACTCCCTCTCTCACTATGATGCAGGTTAACTCACTCTCTCACTGATGTAGGTTATCTCACTCTCTCACTGATGTAGGTTAACACACTCTCTCACTGATGCAGGTTAACACCCTCTCTCACTGATGCAGATTAACACACTCTCTCACTGATGCAGGTTAACTCACTCTCTCACTGATGCAGGTTGACTCACTCTCTCACTGATGTAACTACAAGACTGATGACCTGTATAAATTGAAGTTGACACAATCTGACTTATGTCTGCAGGAAACCTTGACAGGCTTCAAGTGGATTGCTAACAAGGCTTGTGATAGAGAGAATGATGGCAAACATGTCATCTTTGCATTTGAAGAGGCTATTGGTAGGTCACACTTGATAACATCCCTTGTTTTTTGTTCATGTGTGTTTGTTGAACAGGGTTTATATGTGTGTTGTACAGGGTTCATGTGTGTGTGTTGTACAGGGTTCATGTGTGTGTGTTGTACAGGGTTCATATGTGTGTTGTACAGGGTTCATGTGTGTGTTGTACAGGGTTCATGTGTGTGTGTGTGTGTTGTACAGGGTTCATGTGTGTGTTTTACTGGGTTCATGTGTGTGTGTGTTGTACAGGGTTCATATGTGTGTGTTGTACAGGGTTCATGTGTGTGTTGTACAGGGTTCATGTGTGTGTTGTACAGGGTTCATGTGTGTATGTGTGTTGTACAGGATTCCTGTGTGTGTGTGTTGTACAGGGTTCTTGTATGTGTGTGTTGTACAGGGTTCTTGTATGTGTGTGTTGTATAGGGTTCATATGTGTGTGTGTTGTACAGGATTCATGTGTGTGTGTTGTACAGGGTTCATGTGTGTTTATTGTACAGGGTTCATGTTTGTTGTACAGGGTTCATGTCTGTGTGTTGTACAGGGTTAATGTTTGTGTGTTGTACAGGGTTCATGTGTGTGTGTTGTACAGGGTTCATGTGTGTGTGTTGTACAATGTTCATGTGTGTGTGTTGTACAGGGTTCATGTGTGCGTGTTGTACAGGGTTCATGTGTGTGTGTTGTACAGGGTTCATGTGTGTGTGTTGTACAATGTTCATGTGTGTGTGTTGTACAGGGTTCATGTGTGCGTGTCTGTTGTACAGGGTTCATGTGTGTGTGTGTGTGTTGTACAGGGTTCATGTGTGTGTGTTGTACAGGGTTCATGTGTGCGTGTCTGTTGTACAGGGTTCATGTGTGTGCGTGTGTGTTGTACAGGGTTCCTGTGTGTGTGTTGTACAGGGTTCATGTGTGTGTGTTGTACAGGGTTCATGTGTGTGTGTTGTACAATGTTCATGTGTGTGTGTTGTACAGGGTTCATGTGTGCGTGTCTGTTGTACAGGGTTCATGTGTGTGTGTGTTGTACAGGGTTCATGTGTGTGTGTGTGTGTGTGTGTGTGTGTGTGTGTGTGTGTTGTACAGGGTTCATGTGTGTGTGTTGTACAATGTTCATGTGTGTGTGTTGTACAGGGTTCATGTGTGTGTTGTACAGGGTTCATGTGTGTGTGTGTGTGTATGTGTGTTGTACAGGGTTAGTGTGTGTGTGTGTGTGTGTTGTACAGGGTTCATGTGTGTGTGTTGTACAATGTTCATGTGTGTGTGTTGTACAATGTTCATGTGTGTGTGTTGTACAGGGTTCATGTGTGTGTGTGTTGTACAGGGTTCATGTGTGTGTGTGTGTGTGTGTTTGTGTTGTACAGGGTTCATGTGTGTGTGTTGTACAATGTTCATATGTGTGTGTTGTACAGGGTTCATGTGTGTGTTGTACAGGGTTCATGTGTGTGTGTGTGTGTATGTGTGTTGTACAGGGTTAGTGTGTGTGTGTTGTACAGGGTTCATGTGTGTGTGTATTGTACAGGGTTCACGTGTGTGTGTTGTACAGGGTTCATGTGTGTGTGTTGTACAATGTTCATGTGTGTGTGTTGTACAGGGTTCATGTGTGTGTGTTGTACAGAGTTCATGTGTGTGTGTGTGTGTGTGTGTGTGTGTGTGTGTGTGTGTGTGTGTGTGTGTGTGTTGTACAGGGTTCGTGTGTGTGTGTGTGTGTGTGTGTGTGTGTGTGTGTGTGTGTGTGTGTGTGTTGTACAGGGTTCATGTGTGTGTGTGTTGTACAATGTTCATGTGTGTGTGTTGTACAGGGTTCATGTGTGTGTGTTGTACAGGGTTCATGTGTGTGTGTGTTACACAGAGTTCATGTGTGTGTGTGTTGTACAGGGTTCATGTGTGTGTTGTACAGGGTTCATGTGTGTGTGTTGTACAGGGTTCATGTGTGTGTGTGTGTTGTACAGGGTTCATGTGTGTGTGTATGTGTTGTACAGGGTTCATGTGCGGCACCAAGGTTCTGGACAAAGATGGAGTGAGTGCAGCAGCAGTGATGGCAGAGATGGCAACATTCCTGTACAACGACAACTCAACTCTGGCTAAACAGCTGGAAGAGATATTCAATAAGTAGGTTATAGATGTTGTATGGAGATAAATATTGATAATATGTGCTTGTTAGTTGTCCAATCAAAGTGCCCAGATTTAATCACCTCCTGTTTGTTGGCATTCTTTAACAAATTTCTCATGATGGTTGGAATAGTGTAATTATATGTCATTATTTGTAATTATACTCCAAAGATTTACCCTGCCTCTGATGCTTGTGTTTCAGATACGGTTATCATTTGTCACGAAACTCCTACTTCCTGTGCTACGACCCAGCCATTACTGCCAAGATGTTTCAGAATATCCGTAACTTCGATGGTCCAGGAAAGGTAGATGTTAACTCTTTCTTCCTCAGATGGGGTTCATGGGAAGAATAACCCCCAGAGCCCCTTACTTGTCTTTCGAGTCAATTAGTATCGGAATCATGTAATTACAGTGTGTGACCTGGTTAATATTGAACCATTGTACCCAGATGGCATTGACCATTGCACATGCATTTAACTGTGTGTTTGCATGACTGAGTAAAGGGCTAAATGAATTATGTTATGACCTGCTAGAAATGCTGTAAGAGGTTTAGAATAACCATGCAGCCTTTCAATTTCTCAATACATGTACTTTTTATGGAGGTCAGTTCTTTTGCATTTCATAAGAGTATTGAACAGCATAGGCCATATAATATTGATTTATATAGTCTTTATTATTTCCTCATCAGGGTTAGAAGTTAGAACTAAACTCAAAAGCTTTACTAGCCCAGCTAATGATAAAATGCCCTTGTTAAAACAATAGGGAACTTTGTACTTGCCTGCAGGAATAAGTACTAGCCCCTGGCTAGCAGGCTAGTGTTAAGTTCCAACCAGCCCTGCTCATCACTTTTTCATTATTTTGGGAGCAATGATTGTCCTCGCAGAAGTTATCATAACTAGGTATCTGTCTGTAATTTTTTACCTTCCCAAATATCAATGTTAGAATAGTTCTCAAAGACAAAGACCATATTTGGGAATTCTCTGAAATTTCATATTTTCATAACGGCATTTATTTCCCTTGTGTTTAATCTGACACATTATCAGGGAAAAATCAGTTCAAAAGTCCCAATCATTAATGATAGTGAAAATCTTAAGCAAAATGTACACTGTGCTTATATTGATCTATACTGCTGGACAGGAAATTGGAGAGCTACCGTTACATATTCAAGTTACTTAGAATACAGAACATGATAGAAGAAGTTTTAATTTGCCAGATAATTAATTCACCGTTACATATTCAAGTTACTTAGAATACAGAACATGATAGAAGTTTTAATTTGCCATATAATTAATTCAAACTTTTTGTTTCAGTATCCATCAAGTTGTGGCCCTTACAAGATCAAATATGTTCGAGATCTGACAGGCAAAGGCTACGACAACAGTCAGCCAGATAATGTTCCAGTGAGTTGAGGTTCTTGTTCTTGTTATTGTAAGGCCTACTCAAGGGATCCTTCCCTAGTGAGTGAGTGAGTTTAGTTTAACTACTTTGAAGAAACCACAGTTCACTGTGCAAAATTGCATCCCGAGCTTACTCGAATCACTTGGGTTTCCTCCCACATTTGACTATCATGCCACAAATATGCAATTCTGTTCATTTGGTGTTCAGCCCAACATACTCTGATCCTAATGTGCAGACTACAAGAAAATTTGACTGGAAAGATATCAAATCTTTTATTTTAACCCATAAATGTCCCACCTTTAATACCTGCAAATTGTACAGATTTGTCTGCTTCATATAAAAAATATCAATGTCTTCAGATTCTACCCACAAGCAAGTCCTCAGAGATGATCACATTCACATTTGAAAATGGCTGTGTGGCTACCCTGCGGACAAGCGGCACCGAACCCAAAATCAAGTACTACACTGAGCACAAGCCAGACCCCACTAAAGGGTAAGTTATTGAGGGGACATGGGTGGCCCAGTGGTGTAGGGTGCCACAAGAAGGAATGAATAGGGTTGTAGTACATTCTTAACAATATTACTATAACGAGAGACGCCAGAATGGGATCTTTCTGAGACAAGAGAGTTAACTGGCTTTAAAAGTCCAGTTTCCACCCTTGCCGAACTAGGCTGGAATTCCTAGGCTCGATGGGAGCGCCACCAGTGGTTATTACGAGTTATGTCCCTTCTATGACTCTCCTATGGAGCAATCAGATTCCACCTCTCGTATCACTTGCATTTGCTTCAAACAAAATGGCAGCGGCCAGTCAAGACAATCTGATTGATAATTAAGATATATATTGTGAAAAAACATGAAATGATTTGGAAAATATCTGTTGACATTGAGTTGGCGGTGAACATGCTTTGCAAATCCTGCAATCAACCGAAATCTGCATGACAGTTTACAAAGCGGATTTTGATTTCATTGCGCGATTTTGATTGGACTGTGTATAGATTCGTTAGTCAAGCCAAAATCTAATGCCATAATACCAGCCTAGTTCGGCAAGGGTGGTAACTGGACTTTTATAGTCAGTTAACTCTCTTGCCTCAGGAAAATGGAATGGGGTTTACACTAAGGTGACCGTGTCATGTCTGGCATGTTTGTTTGTTGTTTAATGCCGCACTCAGCAATATTTCTGTTATAAGACGGCGGTCTGTAAATACACTCCAGTGAGCTACAATCCACACAATTGGGATACGGTGACATGCATCAACCAGGTCATCGAGCATGACCATCCGATCCCGTTAGTAGCCTGGTACGTTAGTACGACAAGCATAGTCGCCTTTAACTGTTTTTGCAATGGTTATTTTTATCCTGTTAAAGTTAAAGCACTGCCACAAGTCCTCTCCCTTCTGTCTTCGAGCAAAGACAAATACTCAAGTTCCATTAATAGTTATCAGTGAATATATTGAAAAGCTAGGACAAACGTCACTTCCCACTTTCCTTTAAAGGCTCACAGAATCCACAGCCCAGGCGTGTGGCTTGAAGTGCACTATTACTATTAGCAGGACATGATTTTGCTACATGTAACCCAAATGATGAAATGCCATTTGATCAGAGCCTTTACAGGGATTTATCTAGTATTCTAAACAGAGTGCCTTTGGCAGGCAAATAGGGGAGAAAAAGTGCCATTGATTTTTTAATTTATTATTTTTCTAAATTAAGGGGTATTTTAACATTAATGTTTAATATTGCATTCAACGCAGATATGTTAACCTAAGCATTGAAGCATTTTTCTCAATATGGAGAGATGTTTATTTCCAATTTGAGAATTTTTACTGACATTTGCTGCAGACTTCATGGACATGGAATCTGAACAGGTTTAAATAAATCCCTGCTTTAGCTATGCTGCAAGGTCAGTTGAAAGTTTGCATATATTTGGCACAGATTTAAGCAGTGGCTCTCCATGATGTGAAAAGTATAATTCAATTCAATGTTTGTCACTTGTGACCTTGACTTTCAGAATGGACCGAGAAGCAGCAGAAAGGGAGTTGAACGACATGGTCCACTGTATCGAGACTCATTTCTTCCAGCCGGAGGCTTTCGGACTTACTCCACGACCTACCAGCTAAAGAATGTCAACCACTAGTCAACCATCCAACAAGTAGTTTGCTACTCCTATACTACAGGCACATATAGCTTAAAGTAACCAATTCCATTGCCCCAGAGTACTCCTACTGCTACATGTAATGCCATACCTTATATTTTATAGTTAAGATTTATTAAATAAGAATAGACATAAATTTGTGTTGATAGATATTTCTTATTTCTGGGCACAAATTTTGTTTGGGTTGTTTTCGATCTAGTTGGAATAAACAGATGCTAATTCTGTCTCTGTGCATTTACTGTTGACAGTGACGGCTTTGCTCTAGTGATCAGAGACTTTCAACATTATCTATAAGGCATTTGATCAATTATCATTTAAAAGGTAAAGTTATTTTCTTGTTAGATTTTTTGGTAGCTGTATCCTCTATTTTCATAGAGTTATCAGGGTCGTGGAGTCGGTTATCAAGGTAGGGGAGATGGTTAATGGGGAAGTCTGCACAAGGGGTACCTGTAGCACGCTTCTTGGGGGAGGAATCATATTTCTGTTTAACTCAAGGCAGTTTGGATTTATATGGCAAGCTAGTGTTAGCTGAAGCCATGTTTTCCTGATATTTCATGTGTATTTTCAAAAGCTATATTTGAGTCATGATGGAAACTTGGATGATAACCTTTTGTAGTAACACAAGATTTTGAAATACAAATATGTTTAATCAGATAGAAGTTAGTCGCAGATAGCTAGGCCTATCACATGCTTTTGAATATAGAGATATACCATAATTAATTTAATTTAAAATATCTCCTTTGATATATGTAGAGAGTAATGATAGGATTACATTCATAATTTATTGTAGAATGAATATATAATCATTAATGTGATGAACATTTTACACTTTAACAAAAGACAAGATGTGAATTGTTTGTATACTCCTCAGGGAGGTGAGAATGAGACTAATCCATTGACCAGGGTAGTACGAGTAATAATGTCATAGTGCCATGAGCATACCGACAGGCATGGAAGTTTGCACTGTCGAAATGTACTCATTATTATTATTATTGTTGTTGTTGTTATTATTAATATTAATAATTGTATTGTTAAATTTTATTTAAGCAAAAATGAAGTATAAACAAATACCATGCATTGAAAAGTTGCTGCATGTTTATGAGTACAGTTCTCTATCACTCATCTCTCTGTGATGGGGATGAGTGACAACATCATTTACTCACTCACTCACTCACCATGGAAGTACTGGTACATTGTCAAGAAACAGTGTCTGAGCTTACAAGGTATTTTGAGCTTGTTTGAGAACGTATCAATAAATACCATTGCTTAACTGTTAATTCCTTATTTCATATAAATGTAAATAAACAGGTTAAGTTGGATGGCTAAGATCATATACATTTTTCTTGTGAAATGCTTAAGCCTCGCTGAGAGCATCTTCGATTATTCAGGCTAACATAATCTCCTTTCTATTATGACAACAACCCTGGACCCATTTGCCATCAATGCTTTGTATACAAGTGATGCGGTGGTGGTGAATGTGTCTAGGGTATTTATAGAATGGTGATTTTATACCTTGGATAGTCGGAAGATGCATTGAGAGAAGTTCCACCATGTTGATCTGTGACTACAGTGTGTGACCTTTAGAGGTTTTGGTTTGGTTTGTTGTTTAACGCCGCCCTCTGCAATATTACGGCGGTCTGTAAATAATCGAGTCTGGACCAGACAATCCAGTGATTGACATCATGAGCATCGATCCACGCAATTGGGATCAATGACATGCATCAACCAACTCAGCGAGCCTGACCACCCGATCCTGTTAGTCGCCTTTAACGACAAGCATAGTCGCCTTTTATGGCAAGCATGGGTTGCTGAAAACCTATTCTACCCCGGATCTTCACAGGTCGCCTTTAGAGGGAGATGACTGTATCAGAGTATAGAAATGAAAACAAAATCATTCTCCACATATATTCCAATACCTCAATACCAAAATTGCCTGTTTTACATACATGTATTTGTCACTGACCTGTTTGTTTTGAGTCCAATGCTGATTCAACACTTGCAATAACAAACCAAATTGCTTGATAAGCCTTGTCTCATGCTTTGAAACCATTTAAAATGAATTTTTGAAACCAGACAAGTGTCATTTCTTGTTTTTGTATAATTTTCTTGGCCAGGTATGATGGCAACATACAGAAATAATAAAAATGATGTAAGGGTTGATTTTTCTATAACAACCTCTTGAAACAACGGTTTTGACAAAATTATAGACAAAAATATGCCCAGATAATGTATATTCATAATCAGTCACAGCATTTGAATTTATTTATCATTTCATGTTTTATTTTGTTACGGATAGGTTTTTCTATTAGAAAATAAAGCAAAATGCCAAAATAAACTCGTCTGGTCAAAGAGTTGTTTGTTTTGTTTGTGATCTCCCTGATAGCCACAAATAGGCAGATTTGCCTCATGAGAAAATAAAAAAAAGCATTTCAGGGGGTTACCATCAAATTCATTACCGGTACTTGTAAATAAGAGAAGGGTTATTATTAAATTAATTAAGTGTCTAGTCCTTTTTGTCAGTGTGTGCCAATTATTTTCTGTCATCAATAATTGTTATCACTACTTTTAATGTTATTTTGTTATTAGTGTTGTAAAGCAATTTTATTAAATTGTATTGTCAAAGATGGTCATTTACTCCAGGGCAGTTTTGTTTTGCTGTGCATCACTGAACTGTTTTCTGAAGGAATCATACTCGGCAAAAATGTTACCATGGTTACCATGCAAGCAAAATTTACCATATGTGACTCTTCTGTTAATCATATGTGCTTGTGTTGCTTGTGTTGTATTATTTGTTTGTTTTATTAGTGGATTTATCATGTTGCTGCTGACAACAGGACTATTTTAAAGCCCGACTATTAAACATTTTGGTGAGACCAGGGATTTTTGTCACTTTTTCAAAACATGCAGTTTACCACTGTGGACAGCCAAAATTTTCAGTGAACCGTGTGCGTGCATGCGTGCGAGAGAAAGAAGAACTAATTCCCACACCCATTAGAATGTAAAATGGTTGTCCTCTTAGCACATCATGCTGTTCATCCATGACATTATTTGTCACTATTGCTAAATTATTGCTGTTGTTACTGTTTTTGCGTGTTAGTATATTCAGTCGAATGGATGATAAATCAAAGTCATTCCTCAGCAATATTAAAACCTTCTACAAACATTTCCATTTGTGAAAAAAACATTCACGAGCATGATGACCTTGCTCTTATTATTTTCATAGATTGTACAAAACGTTCCAGTGTCTCCGATATCCGACCATCTTTGTGTAGCCAGGGTATTATATATCTCCATTCTGTTGTGATAAATATCCTGGACCCATTCACCACTATAGCTTCATTTCAGGTGGTTTAGATCACAATCTTCAGTTCTTTCATCACTTACTCTTTCACCTGATATGTTTACATGGATTTCTTTCACCTGAAATCAAATCAAGTGGCTTCTTCTGAACACGAGTCTCGCATACAAATAATTTGAAAATCCTGGCGTGTTACAAGCCCTTGATGAATTTAAGGAATTTAAGAAGACTTTTTGGTGTGAATTTCTAGTTGGAAAATATGTTGTCAAGAGCAAGATGGGAATAGGTTAATCATTTGCTGCAAGACATTCCCAGTTCAAGTTGAATATGAGATGGCATGCAACAAAATGGTGATATCATTGCTTGTTTTTTAAAAGAACAGTCAAATTTTAGCATTGTGTTATTCAACTGAATTCAGTATGATTTGGTTTGTTGTTTTATGCTATACTTAGCAATTTTCCAGCGGTGAATTCAGTATGACGTTATGATAGTTATGAGGTCCAGGGAATACATCATAATAGAACAGAGATATGATACACTGGATAATCGAGGCTGACATCTGACTTGCATCATTTTATCTCCACATTATTATTGCTTTGTTGCCGATTTGTTATGGTATGTTTTTGATTTGTGTAATATTTAGTTGTTTTTTTTACAGTTACTTTTTGAAAAAATGTAAATCAGTCGTATTTTAATGTTTATGTCTTTAATTTGCCATTGATAAAAAAGAAGTTAGGAAAAAAGGCCTTAGGGCCTTCAGATTTCTTTCATTTAGCATTTAGTAAAAAGAAATTCACTTTAATAATAAATTTGAATTTGATGATTTATCATAATTCATTTCATAATCCAGTAACCATGATTATAACTGGTGTACTTTTATTCTTTGGAAAACAATATCCTTATCTACACTAGAAAGTATTAAACAGGAACAGGTTATTAGGTTAACTAGACTTGAAACGGTCAGTAGCAGAATGTAAAACTATGTCTTAAATGTATCAGTATTGTGCATGTTTTTTTCTCATTTACATGTTGGTTGTTATTTATCTGTTGGCTATCAAAATAAATATTTCAAAAATCAGTTTGTTTTGTTAAACTGTAATTTCTTTTTGTCCATTTGTGGTTAAAATATTTTAACCCTGGTCAGAATGCTGAATTAATTTGAATATCAACAGGAAGTGAAGTACAACAGTCACTTAAATAGAGTTCTATCCTCATTAATTAAAGTTTTACTGATTATTATTTTAATTCCTAAGTGAGACGCATCTATACACACCTGTATATTTCTATTTCTGAATTTTACAAATTTGAATTATATCTATGGAATTTACCTATTTTTACAATTTTTTTAACTTATCCTGCATTACTCCTTAAAGCATTTACTACTTATTCTTGACAGAGAGAAAGAGCTGTGTGAGGTCTTAATGAAGAAGAAGTTGTTCCAACTTGTTGAGTGGCTAAGCCTATCACACAGCTCCCATGAGACCACAGGAGGTAACGTCACTGATAAAAAAATATCTAGGATTTTACTAGATTTTTTAACTTATCCTGCTTTACTTAATGCATCTTTATCCAACAGTACCTTCAGATGTGATCTTCAATAAAATTCTCAAAACTCCAACCAATCAGCAATAACGATGTCTGGCATCGAGTGACCATTCCTGTTGACAGAGAAGGAGAAAGTTAGGTATGTGTGATTTCCAGGTATTGATGCAAACATAGAAGTTAAATAAAATTAAAGTCTAGAACTGTCATACCGAGCCTAATGCGTGCAGCATGTAGCCTTCTAATAAGGGGTGACACACACCGGAGAGGTTGCAAGGCCGGTTCTGGACGTATGGAAACGTCAATGGCGGTATGTTGCTTGGCAACCACCAAAGGGCCAACGCTGTGTACACCTTCCACTTCTTCTAAGACGACTTTGCGCAAGTAGTGGCTGGTGAAGGCGGTATCTGATCGCCAGAAGCAACCTTCCATTTTTGGCACATATAGATGACCTCTCACTCTGTCCAGTTCAAGACTTGAGGATCTACCCGAAGGCCTCTTAGACCTTACGTCGTTCATGCAAGCGTTTATTCATTCCATTATTGATGGCTGCAAATTCAGAGGTATCTCTTTTTGGCTACGTTCCATCAACCTCAGAGCTTACCAGTTTCGGGTATTACCACCTCCAGTTGCTGCCAACCCTTAGGAAACATGGGCATCGGCTTCCACCTTGGCATTGCACAGCAACTGAACACTCTCAGCCATCACGGAGGGATGCTTCTTGAGGTATGACGCGGTTTTTGCTTCCCATTACCTTTGTGATGTCTCAGTCGCCCATGTCCATGGTTTTTATCACTTTGGTCCTCTTGTTTGGGTGGTGAGGTGGCCTAGTGGTTAAAGGTTAGCTCTTTTGATTCCCCACATGGGCGCAATGTGTGAAGCCCATTTTCAGGTGTCCCCAGCCATGATATTGCTAGAATTTTGCTAAAAGTGGCGTAAAAAAACATACTCACTCTTGTTTGGCCCAAAAGCTTACAGCTGGTCCCAGTTGCACAAAGCGATCTTAGTGCTACGACTATTGTAGGCCTATGTTAATATATGGGAGTTACAGTCATCTTAGCAATAAGATCGATTGTGCAACTGGTCCCATCGATTCCCGGATTTTATTTCGTTTTAGGAATTTTGACATTGTAGATCCGTTTACCCAACATTGTTTTTGCAATTTCTGTGCCACTAACTTCATTATTTGTCAAGGTGATAAGTAGATCTAATTGTTTCTCTGTTTGCTTAATTTCTTTCAAATCGGTGTCATGATTAAGCAGACGACATGTCAAGCTCCTCACAGCGATAGTCCGTTCGCGGAGCTCTATGTTACCGAGAGTGTAACGAAGGTGTCACGCGCTGGGAAGGAGCTTGACGACATATAAACCAAGGGGGATAATTTAACCAATTTCGTGTGCATGACCCATGTCAAACGTACCGGTAAAAACTGTCATTTATCATGAATTAGGACTTCGAAAAAGTGAAGGGTAAAACTGCAACCGTCTTGTTGAATTAACTTTTTGCACTTGGGTGGACATACCTGCGTATTAATTATTGTCGGATTAGATACTAGACCATCCGTGCCAACTGAAAATAGACGATCCATACCTAATATACTCGACAGACATTAACTGATTGCTGTGATTGAAAAAGCAAAAATATTCATGACCAGCTTCTTGTATATAAGGTGTCTGTTACACATGCGTTGTCACCATAGCAACATCGGACAAAATGGCGGACAACTACAAAGTGGTCTGAATGTGCGGGGGAAAGAATGCATGTTATATACTGTGATACGTAGTGCAATACAAAAACCATTATTGCAATAATTTTCAATAAATATGATTAACCCATCACTATCATTAATATAATTTATACCTTGACTATC